CTGAGACCAAGGACCAGGATCAGGACTGAGACCAAGACCAGGATCAGGACTGAGACCAGAGACCAGGATCAGGACTGAGAGATCAGGACTGAGACCAGACCAGGATCAGGACTGAGACCCCAGGATCAGGACTGAGACCAAGACCAGGATCAGGACTGAGACCAGGACCAGGATCAGGACTGAGACCAAGACCAGGATCAGGACTGAGACCAGGACCAGGATCAGGACTGAGACCAGGACCAGGATCAGGACTGAGACAGGACCAGGATCAGGACTGACTCAGACAGACCGGACCTGGACCGAGACCAGGACCAGGACAGACCATCAGGACTGAGACGGATCAGGGGACTGAACCAAGGATCAGGACTGAGACCAAGACCAGGATCAGGACTGAGACCAGACAGGATCAGGACTGAGACGGATTCAGGACCAGGACGAGACCAGGACAGGACTGAGACCAAGGATCAGGACTGAGACCAGGCAGGACAGGACTCAGGACTGAGACCAAGACCAGGGACTCAGGACTGAGGACAGACCAGGATCAGGACTGAGACCAGGGACAGGATCAGGACTGAGGACCGGGACCAGGATCAGGACTGAGACCGAGACCAGGGATCAGGACTGGAGACCAGACCCATGAGACTCAGGACTGACCAGAGGGAAGGACTGAGACCGGACCGGATCAGGACTGAGGACCGGACAGGACAGGACTGTCAGAACTGAGACCCAAGGACCGGATCAGGACTGAGACCAACCAGGACTGAGACCGAGACCAGGGATCAGGACTGAGACCGAGATCAGGATCCAGGATCAGGACTGAGAGACTGAGACCAAGACCAGGATCAGGACTGAGACCAGGACCAGGATCAGGACTGAGACCAAGGATCAGGACCAGGACCAGGATCACTGAGACCAGGATCAGGACTGAGACCAGGGATCAGACTGAGACCAGGACTGAGACCAAGGACCAGGATCAGGAACTGAGACCAGGATCAGGACTGAGACCGAGACCAGGATCAGGACTGAGACCAGGAGACCAGGATCAGGACTGAGACCAGGATCAGGACTGAGACAAGGACCAGGATCAGGACTGAGACCAGAGACCAGGACCAGGATCAGGACTTGAGACCAGGGACCAGGATCAGGACTGAGACAAGGACCAGGATCAGGACCCAGGGATCAGACTGAGACCAAGGACAGGACCCAGGACCAGGATCAGGACTGAGACCAGGAGGACCAGGATCAGGACAGGACTGAGACCGAAACCAGGATCAGGACTGAGACCAGGACAGGATGACCAGGATCAGACCAAGACTGAGACCAAGGATGAGACAGGACTGAGACAAGGGATCAGGACTGAGACCAGGACCAGGATCAGGACTGAGACCAAGACCAGGATCAGGACTGAGACCGAGACCAGGATCAGGACTGAGACCAGGACCAGGATCAGGACTGAGACCCAGGACGAGACCAGGATCAGGACTGAGACAGACCAGGATCAGACTGAGACCGGACCAGGACTGAGACAGGATCAGACCAGACCAGGACAGGACTCAGACTGAGACCGGACCAGGATCAGGACTGAGACCAAGACCAGGATCAGGACTGAGACCAGATCAGGACTGAGACCAGGATCAGGACTGAGACCAAGACCAGGATCAGGACTGAGACCAAGACCAGGATCAGGACTGAGACCAGGATCAGGACTGAGACCAGACCAGGATCAGGACTGAGACAGACCAGGATCAGGACTGAGACCAAGACCAGGATCAGGACTGAGACCAAGACCAAACCGTGACTGACCAGAACTGAGAACGGTTTACACCTGTTTAAGACCTGGTTCAATTCTGGTTTAGTCCTGTTTTAGACCTGTTTTAGTTCCTGTTTTAGACCTGTTTAAAGACCTGGTTTAGACCTGGTTCAGACCTGGTTTAGACCTGATTTAGACTTTGTTTAGTCCTGTTTTAGTCCTGTTTTAGAGACCTATTTTAGACCTGTTTTAGTCCTGGATTAGTCTTTGTTTAGACCTGTTTTGGTCCTGGTTCAGACCTGGTTTCAGACCTGGTTTAGACCTGGTTCAGACCTGGTTTAGACCTGGTTTAGACCTGGTTTTAGTTCTGGTTTAGACCTGGTTTTAGTTTGTGCTTTCGTGGCCCGGTACCAAACGACCCACAGTCCGGTCCCGCTCTCCAGCCCGAGGGTCGCGGACCATGACGGCAATAAAAGAAGGTTAAAACCTCTCCTGCATGTCAGATCTGTGGAGAGGCGAGCCCCTGTGCTGCAGAGTGACTCACGTGGAGAAGGCGTTGTTTTGTCTCTCACAGCGGATTCCTTTGCAGTTGTTCGGTTCTTCTGCCGCCGTCGTCTCGTAGTAAAAATACAACTGATTGAGTCCGTTCGCGAAAGCCAACAGAACCTGAACACAGCACACGACGACCAAAGGAAAACGACAAGAGTTAAGTTTTAATTATCTGTACTTTACCTAAGTTACGGATGCAGAGGGGTCACAACAAACGCAAACGCCGCAGCAAAAACAAATGCGACAACACAACAAAAAGCCACAACAAACCAAAAAAAGCCACAACAAACCAAAAAAAGCCACAACAAACAAAAAAAGCCACAAACAAAGCCCAACAAAAAAAAAGCCACAACAAACCAAAAAAAGCCACAACAGAAATGACCGCGGGACTCTATTTTAATGCAAACGCCGCAACACAAACGAAAAAGCCACAACACATTAAAAAGCCACAACACATTAAAAAGCCACAACACATTAAAAAGCCACAACATACCAAAAAAAGTCACAACGGAAGTGACCGCAAACTCTATTTTAATGCAAACGCCGCAACACAAACGAAAAAGCCACAACACATTAAAAAGCCACAACACATTAAAAAGCCACAACATACCAAAAAAAGCCACAACGGAAGTGACCGCGAAACTCTATTTTCCGACGGACCGATCAAGCGGCAAGTGAAGAAGAAGAACTACAACGTGAAAAGTAAAGGGACGGAGAAGTTGGAAACGTAAGTAAAAGTAATTTATTGTTTTATCATTATTCGTTTCACGTTGCAGTTCTTCTTCTTCTTCACTTGCCGCTCGATCGGTCCGTCGGAAAATAGAGTTCCGCGGTCACTTCTGTTGTGGCTTTTGAATGTGTTGTGGCATTTGTGTTTGTGTTGTGGCGTTTGTATTTTTTGCGGCGATTACATTAAAATATAGTCCCACGGTCATTTCCGTTGTGGCTTTTTTGGTGTGTTGTGGCTTTTTGTGTGTTGTGGCTTTTTGGTGTGTGTGTTGTGTGTTGTGTTTTTTTTTTGTTGTGGCTTTTTTGTTGTGTTGTGGCTTTTTTGTGTTTGTTTGCTTTTTTGTTTGTGTTTTTGTGGTGTTTTTGTGTTATGTTGTGGCTTTTTTGGTGTGTTGTGTTTTTTATTTTTATTTGTTGTGGCTTTTTTGTTGTGTTGTGGCTTTTTGTTATGTTGTGGCTTTTTTGGTGTGTTGTGTTTTTTATTTTTTATTTGTTGTGGCTTTTTTGTTGTGTTGTGGCTTTTTTGGTGTGTTGTGTTTTTTGGTGTGTTGCGGCGTTTGCGTTTGCTGTGACCCTCTCGGCTTCCGTACTAAGTGCATTTAAGTATTCATAAATACTTTTGACTTTTACTTGAGTACATGTGAGAGCAAAGTTTTACATCTGGACTGAAAAGTAAAAAAGTACTTTTCTTTACGGTTTAAGTCCTGTGGAAGTGGCTCAGACTTACTTTTAATCTGAGTAAACTTTTCAACTTTGAGCAAATCAAATACACAATTAAAGCTGCAAGCGGCATCGAGCGGCCTTCCCTTGGCACTGGGCCGACCTGACCGTCCCCCGGGTGGCGCTGACGCTCACTCGTCTCTGTGTGATTGTGGCTTTGGGCTGAACTTGTCACTAAACAAAGTCACACACCTCAGAGACGCTGATGTGTTAAACATAAATAAACATGGGCGCTTTGGGACATCGCCATGACAACGCCGTGTAAAAAAAGACTTTGGCCCCCGGACTTTATTGATCGGGGAGACCTGAAGAAACATGGTGCCTTCAATTAAACTAATAAGTAGGTGGCGCTATTACACCAAAATATGTTTGTGTTACAATTATTAGATTTCAGCAAGAAAGTTTTACAAGTGATTCAAATTTGAGGCCAACTGGACTTTGTATGAATCGGATCAAATTTTGACATTGGAAAAAATCTGAATGAAATTTGCAGCTTTGCTGCACGTAAACCGTGACAGTTATCAAAATAATTTGGATAACTTTAGATGTTCCACTTCTCTAGATGATGTACGGTGATTTTCAGGCCTGTGGGTGAAGCGTCTTCAGAGGAGTGCCTTAAACTGCAACGTCAACGAAAATGCTGATTCAGCATTTTTGAAAATTTTAATCCAAGATGGCCGCCTTCTGGTTTGTCAGGGGGCGTGGTCATAATAATATTTTTTGTTTGTCTTCACATGACGAATGTGTGGACTGAATTTTGTAGCTCTACGACAAAGTTGACCATAGTTGGTTCTTTGGAGTTGGTTTAGTTGTGTGTCACTGAGTGTGGTTGTGCCTTGTCATTGTGTGTCGTTGAATGTTGTTGTGTGTTGTTGTGTGTTTGTGTGTCTTGTGTTGTGTGGTTGTTGTGTGTCGTTGTGTGTTGTTGTTGTTGTGTGTGTCGTTGTGTCTTGTTGTGTGGTTGTTGTGTGTGTTGTGTGTTTGTTGTTGTGTTGTTGTGTGTGTGTCGTTGTTGTTCTGTGTGTTTGTGTTGTTGTGTGTGTGTGTGTGTGTGTTGTTGTGTGTGTTGTTTTGTGTGTTTGTGTTGTTGTGTGTGTTGTTGTGTGTGTGTTGTGTGTGTTGTTGTTTGTGTGTGTGTTGTGTTTGTGTGTGTTGTTGTGTGTGTTGTGTGTGTTGTGTGTTGTTGTGTGTGTGTTGTTGTGTGTTGTTGTGTGTTGTGTGTGTTGTTGTTGTGTGTGTTGTGTGTGTTGTTGTGTGTTGTGTTGTTGTGTTGTTGAGTGTGTGTGGTGTTGTTGAGTGTGTGTCGTGTTGTTGTGTGTTGTGTGTGTGTGTCGTTTGTTGTTGTTGTTGTTGTGTGTTATTGTGTGTGTGTTGTGTGTTGTGTGGTTGTTGTGTGTTGTGTGTTGTTGTGTGTTGTGTGTGTGTGTTGTTGTTGTGTTGTGGTTTGTGGTGGTTGTGTGTTGTTGTGTGTGTTGTTGTGTTGTTGTGTGTGTTTGTGTGTGTTTGTTGTGTGTGTGTGTGTTGTGTTGTTGTTGTTGGTGTGTTGTGTGTTGTTGTTGTGTTGTGTGTCTGTGTGTGTTGTTGTTGTTTGTGTTGTTGTGGTTGTGTTGTGTGTGTGTGTGTCGTTGTGTGTTGTTGTGTGTGTTGTGGTGTGTGTTGTCGTTGTGTGGTCGTGTGTTGTGTGTGTTGTTGTGTTGTTGTGTGTGGTGTGTGTTGTTGTGTGTTGTTGGTGGTTGTTGTGTTGTTGTTGTGTTGTTGTTGTTGTGTGTGGTGTATGTGTCGTGTTGTTGTGTCGTTGTTGTTGTTTGTGTGTGTGGTCTTTGTTGTGTGTGTTGTGTGTTTTGTGTGTGTTGTTGTGTGTTTGTGTGTGTTTTGTTGTGGTGTTGTTGTGTGTTGTTGTGTGTGTCGTTGTTGTCGTTGTGTGTGTGTTGTTGTGTGTGTTGTTAGTGTTGTGTTGTGTGTTGTTGTGTGTGTGTTGTGTGTGTGTGTGTGTGTGTGTTGTGTGTCTGTGTGTGTGTGTGTTGTGTGTGGTGGTTGTTGTCGTTGTTGTTGTGGTGTGGTGTGTTGCGTTGTTGTGTTGTTGTGTGTCTTTGTTGTGTGTTGTGTGTGTGTTGTTGTGTGTTGTGTGTGTGTTGTTGTGTGTGTTTTGTGTTGTCTTGTTGTGTGTGTGTGTTGTGTGTTGTTGTGTGTTGTGTGTGTTGTGTGTGTTGTGTGTGTTGTTGTGTGTGTTGTGGTGTTGGTGTGTTGTGTTGTGTATATGTTGTGTGTGTGTTGTTGTGTTGTTGTTGTGTGTTGTTGTGTGTTTTTGTTTGTTGTTGTCTGTCGTTGTTGGGTGTGTTGTTGTTGTGTGTTGTTGTGTGTGGTTGTGTGTGTGTTGTTGTGTGTTGTTGTGTGTTGTGTGTGTTGTGGTGTTGTGGTTGTTTGTTGTTGTTGTTTGTGTTGTGTGTTGTGTTGTGTTGTTGTATTTGTTGTGTGTGGTTGTGTGTTTGTTGTGTTGTTGTGTTGTTGTGTGTGTTGTGTGTGTTGTTGTGTTGTTGTTGTTGTGTTTGTTGGTGTGTTGTTGTGTGTTGTTGTGTGTTGTTGTGTGTCTTTGTGTGTTTTGTGTGTGTTGTGTGTTGTTGTGTGTTGTTGTGTTTGTGTGTCGTTGTGTTGTTGCGTTACCAGGCAGTAGATGAAGAGGAACTTGAGGATGTCCAGCACCATCCTGCCCAGTGAAATCTGCAGAGGCCCCAGGTGTGAATTGGCCGTGAACAGAGAGATGAGACGCAGAGAACTGAAGATGTTGGCGATGGCGAAGAGCGCCTCAGCGATCAGGGTCGGGTGCCACATCTCCCACTCCTCACGAGGACGAGACGAGTTATACTGAGGAGGAGGAACAAAGGGAAGGAGTAAAGGGAAGGAGGGAAGGAAAAAGGGAAGGAGGGGTGGAAAGAGGGAGATAAAAAAAAGAGAACAAAACAAGCAAAGTTAAAAAGACCAGGGACCAGGACCAGACTGAGACCGAGACCAGACCAGGACCAGACCAGACCAGGACTGAGACCGAGACCAGACCTGGAGACCAGGGAGACCAGACCAGACCGTGAGACCAGGCCAGGAGGGAGACCGAGAGACCAGCCAGAGAGGACTGAGACAGAGACTGAGACCAGACCAGAGACCAGACCGACCAGGACCAGACCCAGACCAGACTGAGACCAGACGACCAGAGACCAGAACCAGACCGTGACCAGACCAGGACCAGAGCGGGACTGAGACCGAGACCAGACTGAGACTGAGACCGAGACCAGAACAGGACCAGAGCAGGACTGAGACCGAGACCAGATCTTTTCTAATAGAGCATGGAAACCCGAACGAAGTCTGACGGGACCCGACAGGAGACCAAACGGGACCTGACACACTCGGTCAGACTCGGACAAATATTTAGAACTTCTGTTTGGTCTCGGGTCGGACTCGGACACATCAGCACAATAACTCATCTGAAATGTCAAATTAAAAACAGTTTAGTTGATTATGAAGAGACAATGGGCCTGTTTCTCTTGATTTAAGAGTTTGTTTTTGTGATAAAAAATAAAAATGGAAAATATTATTCCACCCTGACGACTGGGCCAAAGTCCTGCACCGGGTCGGTACCTGCGGGCAAACAGTTGGTGAAACAGTCGGGTTTTAATGTTCTGGAATTTTACGAGCAGGTAGTGATGACACACAGGTCGGCCAGGACTAAGTCAGGTCTAAACCAGGTCTAAACCAGGACTAATCTTGGATTTGAGAGAGAGAGAACCCAGAGCCCGCAGAGGACAGTGTCCACAAAGTGCGATCGGGCAGCGGCTGCGTAACGGTCGCTCAACGGGCACACCTCCGGACCTGCCCCCACAGTCCTGGTTCAGTTCTGGTTTAGTTGGTTAACCTGGTTTAGTCCTGTTCAGTCCTGGTTTTAGGTCCTGGTGTCAGTCCTGGTTCAGTTTAGTCCTGGTTCCTGGTTCAGTTTTAAAGTCCTGGTGGTTTAGTCTTGGTTTTAGTCCCTGTTTTAAGTCCTGGTTTAGTCTTGGTTTTTTAAGTCCTGGTTTTAGTCCTGGTTTAGTTTAAGTCCTGGTTAGTCCTTTTAGTCCTGGTAAGTCTTAGTCCTTGGTTTAGTCTTGGTTTAGGTCCTTTGTTTTAGTCTTGTAAGTCCTAGTCTTGGTTTAGTCCTTGTTTTAAGTCCTGGTTTAGTCCTTGTTTTAAGTCCTGGTTTAGTCCTTGTTTTAAGTCCTGGTTTAGTCCTTGTTTTTCAGTCCTGTGGTTGGTTCAAGTCCTGGTTTAAAAAAGTCCGTTTCAATTTCATTTTGGTTTTAATTCTTGAAGTCGTCTCGTTTCAGTTTATTCTGACGGAGCTTCAGTTTTTCTTTAATCTGCGTGTGGTTTTAAGTCTGCGGGTTAAGTTTGATAAAGTGGTTTTACGTGGGTTAAAAACAGTCCTTGTGCGTCTTTGTCTGTTTAGTCCTTGGTTTAAAGTCCTGGTTTAGTCTGGTTAGTCCTTGTTTTAAGTCCTGGTTTAGTCCTGTTTAAGTCCTGGTTTTAGTCCTTGGTTTAAGTCCTGGTTTAGTCCTTGTTTTAAGTCCTGGTTTAGTCTTGGTTTAGTCCTTGTTTTAAGTCCTGGTTTAGTCCTTGTTTTAAGTCCTGGTTTAGTCCTTGGTTTAGTCCTGGTTTAAGTCCTGTTTTTTTTTTTTTTTAGTCTTGGTTTTAAGTCTGGTTTAAGTCCTGGTTTTAGTCCTGTTTTAAGTCTTTTAAGTCTTTTAGTCCTGGTTTAGTCCTTTAAGTCCTGGTTTAGTCCTTGTCCTTTTTTAAGTCCTGTTTAGTCCTTGGTTTAGTCCTTGTTTTAGTTGGTTTAAGTCCTTGTTTTAAGTCTGGTTTAGTCTTGGTTTAGTCCTTGTTTTAAGTCCTGGTTTAGTCCTTGTTTTAAGTCCTGGTTTAGTCCTTGTTTTAAGTCCTGGTTTAGTCTTGGTGATTGATAAAGTCGGACTTTCCACACAAACATCCTCCGTGTTGTTAAAATGGTCTGATTTTAATTGTGACGGGTTCGGTTCGGATTCGAGGACCAGACTCGGACAAACAAAAAAACTCAAACTAAAAACCTGCTGCACACTCTGAGTTCTGAACAGGTCCAGGTCAGTTCTCCGGCAGTGAGACTCTGGGGGTTTGGAGCAGACGGAGAAAAACTCTGGACGAGGAAATATGACTTTTTTAAAACACTGAAATAAAAATGTTCAGGTTAAACTTTTGTGAATTTATCTTTTGGACATGTGGTGGTGAAGCAGGATCCTTCTGCTATGACGTCAGCACGTTTTAGAATCGTACGTGATCATGTGTCATTCGATCATTTGTTTCATTATAAAACCAAAAATAAGAAAATGAAAAAACAACAGTTTTCTTCATTATTTGTCTCCAAAACCAAAATGAAAAAACAGATAATGATTCGTTTTTTCAGGTTTTGATTTTGTGTTTAAATGACTTCTGTGACTGTGATGTCCGACTGAACCAGGACTGATCCAGGTCCGGAACCAGACCGGGACCAGACTGAGACCAAGACCAGGCCAGGACCAGACCAGGACTGAGACCAAGGCCAGGCCAGGACCAGAGACCAGACCAGGACCAGAGCGGGACTGAGACCGAGACCAGACCGGGACCAGAGCAGGACTGAGACCGGGACCAGACTCAGACTGAGACCGGGACTAGACCGGGACCAGACCGGGACCAGACCGGGACCAGACCGAGACTGAGACCAGACCGGGACCAGACTGGGACAAGACCAAGACCAGACCAGGACCAGGCTGGGACCAGACTGGGACTGAGACCGGGACCAGACCGAGACCAGAGACCAGACCAGGACCAGACCAGGACCAGACCAGGGACTGAGACCGAGACCAGACCGGGACCGAGGACCAGGACTGAGACCGAGACCAGACCGGGACTGAGACCGGGACTAGACCGGGACTAGACCGGGACCCGGGACCAGACTGGGACCAGACCGGGACCAGACCGGGACCAGACCAGACCAGACTGAGACCAGACCAGACCAGGACTGAGGACCGAGACCAAGACCAGACCAGGCCGGGACCAGACTGGACCAGGCCAGGACCAGACCAGGACCAGAGGGGACCAGAGGACCAGGACTGAGACCGGGACTGAGACCGGGACCAGACCAGACCAGGCCAGGGACCAGACCGGAGTCTCAGAGCCCACAACAGGGCCGGAGCTCGAAGCTGAGACTCGGAGTCAAACCTGGAAGTCCGGTCTGGTCCCACTCAGGTCCCACTCTGGTCCCAGTCTAGTCCTGGACCTGGATCAGTCCTGGTTCAGTCCGACATCTCAGTCACTGAAGTCACGTAAACGGGAAACGTCCTTTATCCGTTTTTCCATTTTTCATTTAAACACAAAATCGAAAACTGAAAAAAAAACAAAAACAAATCCTTATCTGTTTTTTTTTTTTTTTTCATTTTGGTTTTGGAGACAAATAATGAAGAAAATGGTTGTTTTTTCATTTTTTTATTTTTAGTTTTATTTTGAAAAACGAACGAACGAATGACACACAAATCACACGTGTCCGAGGATTTAAAGGTTGTATAGAGGATTTTTTGAAGGGAAGAGAAATACAGCGACAGTCCTTGTGCGCGTTCAGAATCACTGTTGAAGTTTCCTGTCTAGAAGTAATTCAGCGACCGACGCGTCCGTTTTTAGACCCTTCGTCTGCTTCGGTCGCGCCATCGCTGGACGAGATCTCCAAGAATCACCTCAGTTTGGCTTCGCTCCTTTTCCTCTTCTCTTCTTCTTTCAGCGACCTCAAAAACGGACTTTCTTTTTTGCGGCGAACCGGTCGTGGATTCTCGTCCGCCGTCGCGACAAACTTTGCGCGAAATGCGAGGAAGCGACAGTTCGAAAAAGCCTCTAAGAACCGCTGCGTAAACCACGTAATCCCCGCGCTCCGACGAGTCAGTTACACTAGGGAGTTTGATTGACAACCCAACAGCCAATAGAAAATGAGGGAGCCTCGTTTTCTATTGGCTGATGTTTATCTGGCCTCAACACGTCCACAGTTGATAGATTTTCGTTCTTTTTTTTTTTTGGTCATCATAATTACAAAGCTGCTGCGTCTCTGTGATGGTATTTTAATCTTTCACTGACAGTTTGAAACTAAAAAAAAAATCCTCCATACGACCTTTAACTTTGACACAATCTGAAACTGGTTTGAGCTGTTTCTTTTGTTTTTTGTTTTTTTCTGTATCCATGGAGACCGCGCAGGCTAACAGAGCGACCGCAGGACAGGGGCCCCTCCGACCCTCGACCGCACCTGCCAGCCGTGACAGGGGCCCCTCGGATCGTAAACTGCACCTGCCAGCCGTCGCGTTAACGATCCCGTCTGCCGCGTTTGCCCCCGTCCTTCACCCGTCTCCTGTCCTGTGCTGCCGGCTGCTGTTTCAGTGAAGTGTGTGTGTGTGTGTGTGTGTGTGTGTGTGTGTGTGCGTGTGTGTGTGTGTGTGTGTGTGTGTGTGTGTGTGTGCGTGTGTGTGTGTGTGTGCGTGTGTGTGTGTGTGCGCGTGTGGGAGGGCATCAGTGACTCACAGCTCCGCACATGGACATGGCTCCGTCTGCTCCTCCACTTTTAATAAAAACATAAATGTGCCTCAGACGGAGCTCGACGATCTGACAGCTCCAAGAAAAAATCACTCAAAAAAAAAAAAAAAAAACCCCAAAAGTGATCAGTTTGTTAAAGAGTTTCACACAAAAGCCAAAAGCGTCGTGAAGAAGAACACGGAGTCACGTTTAGGGGCTACAGGATGTTTTATTTTATTTAATTTTTTATTTATTTTCTTGAGATGGTGAAGCGAATCCGA